CTAAATGTGTTCTTCTAACAAATGGGCACCAGCATATCTAGCTTATTAAATATGGCTTAAATGCCACCAGGGCTAGGGCACTGCTTTAGCATCAATATTTAAGCACCTACTACCTTAAGGCACCGTTTGGCTCCTCTTGGGATAAGGACTAGGACTTAACTTAGGACTAGGATTAGATAGAACTAGGATTAAAAGTCCCAATCCTATGTTTAGTTTCATATTCAATGTCATTGGGATTATGATGCTCAAAATCCTACTCCCATGTTTGGTTAGTCCGAAATTGGGATTAGCATGTAATGTTCTAAAATTGGGATTAACAAATTGTATTTACTTTTTTTAAATTTGCAATAGCACTTATAATTATAATTTTTTGTGAACTAACACAAACTTTTGAGCATGACATATCATATATATTCATCACTTCGCTTACTCATAATTCAAGATATTGTTGTGATAGAGAAATAATAAATAGTAAGTAGTTTCTTCTTCCCAATAACCTCAATACACATGATGAAAAGGTTAATCAAGTAGAAAATAAAAAAACAATCAACAAGATAACAATATAACAATTGTTTGAGGAAGCAACAATATAACAACTTGCTTCAAGAACCTTGCATCCAATCAAAACATCCACATAATCCGAGTTACACCTGAGTGAGTATTAAAATAGTTCTTACACAATTCAACATAGAAACAAAAGAAGTGTTTCCTTGTGCCTATCATTTAGCATGAAGCAGCTCCATTTTGGCATCAAGACCTGGCAAAGCTATATCATCATTGAACACTGACATCTACATTCCCCTACATGCAGGCTCGGCCTTGGGATAAGCCCACCAAGCCCCGGGGCTGGGGCAACCTAGGGCCGGGGGGCAACCAATTTTTTTAAATATAATGTAGGGTTATAATTTATAAACATAAAATCCTAAGCGCTAACATGATGCGCGCTTGGTATTGTGGTTGAGGGGTTTGTCTGTTGTGTAAACCGCCCCTGTTCGAGTCTTAGAGGGCGCATTTTGTCAGTTTTTTTTAACACGTGCATATGTATGATGACTTAATTGAAGAATTCGCTTCAAAAAATTCAAGGAGAAGTATTTTTCTTTGAATTAAATTGTAGCACAAATGTAATTTTTTCTTATATGAATATTGATTTTGTAAGAAAATATTATCAGTTTGAGCCCAATATAGAACGTTAAATGATATAATATGTATTCATTTTTATCATTATTTTTCGTACCAAATTTTTAATATAAGGGGCAACCAAAATTGGATTGGGTTAGGGTAACCCAAACCTCGGGGCCGGCCCTGCCTACATGGCACCATGAAGTATTGTTACTTCTCCATTGAAATTCTATACAGAACCTATCTGAAGAATTAAACAATTATCTAAAGATGAATAAAAAAGAAAATCTTTATGACATAAACCCATCAAGGAAAATTCAAGGCAAACTATAAGTAGTTATACCATTTCAACTAACCACCTAATTAATAGAAAATATAAGTTCACACAAGCAGATGATGATCACTAGCGATAAAATCCAGGAAGCTGTAATTACCAAGATAATATGCTTAACAATGAATAAAAAATAATAAAAATAACAAAAATTATCACTCACAAGCCTACGTTCCAATCTTTTGAATCCCTCAACCTTTAATTTTCAAACTATCCTCTGAAACACAAATGGAAATTATAGTATTTACACAAAGAATCTCATAATTCATGTTTCTAGCAAATAATCCAAGTTCACAAACTATGAATAATTAGTCTTCCACTATCTTCCCTTTCTTGGAGCAATTTATCATATAACATAGTAAAACTGTAACAAATGTAATCCTCTTCATGAAACGTGGTACATTTTACATAAATGACATAAGACGACATAAACATGAAACTGTTCAAATTATAGTTACCAATGTATCGAATTATAATTACCAATGTAGCAATTACCTGCTCAGACTAGCAACAGACGACCAATGCTCCAATGCTTCTTCTACAAACATGAGATCCCACAAAGCCATTTCCATCCTGAGATCTCAATTCCAACATCATAAGAAATATATAGAACTACAACGAGATCTCAACTCCAATATCATAACAAAGTTCAATCTCTTTCAAAAAATCAGCACTAATTCCTCAAAAATCAACAAAATTGCAACCACAACACTAAAACAAGGTAATATCTTATTCTCCTAATTTAAACTTAGAATTTCAAAATCAGCTCAAACAAACAGTGCCTAAGAATTGTGAAGCTCAATAAATCTTATGTATAAAAGGTTGGGTTAACAAGATTAATTAAGATAATTAATTATTACTTTTTTGATATGTTGTAGATAAATTTGAGAGGATAAATAAAAAAATCCTATTCACCTTCCTTCTCCATGTTATACACCTGTAGCAAATTAACCCAAGGAATTAATAAAAGGGAAAATTTAATCACTTTTCCATTCCTTTTATACTTCTACAGTAATCAGCATAATAAAGGTAAAATGGCACGTAGAACTCAATCAATGGAAATTGAAAGCTAAGTAAGGAATGTTACAATGTACTCTTTGTGACCCAACGAGGTATGTACCAAATATTTAATTTTCCTTTATCTTGTTTATATACAATGAGCACTGGCTTAATTTGTTTGGTTTGTTTTCTTTTTTGTTTTAATTTCTCTTGAACAGAAAAAATAGACAATGTAAGCGCTAGATGTTTCGATTTAAATGAGCTTCGTATTGACTCTAGTGGAGAAGATGACAGAATTTGGAGAAGATATCGGCACAATAAGAAATTCAGTTAGCGTTACAGAGGAAAAAGCTTAAGATTAATGAAGCATGTCGTTTTGGGTAAATTAAATTTGTATTTGTTCATAAGGATGAGTTTTTTTTTTTTTTAATCGTGCCCTTTGACGCACACGGAAATTTTATAAAACTTTATTTCATAAGAATGCTTTTCTTTTTGGTAGATATCCGAGCAAGTTTGGTTGATTGTAAATGACTTATCTGTTATATTTGGTATTTGAAAGTTTATTAAGAGCAGTTATTCAGAGAAAATGAGTGCAAATAGCAAACTAATTAATTACACTAATTCCTATGTAATTAATAATTCTTAACGAATGCCCAGGAGCACTCGTTAAAAGGACCCTTTAATTTAACCCTCAAGAAATAATATTCAGAGTTCAGAATTGCATCTCCTGAACTTTAAGAAAATCGAAAATAAATTAAATTATGAAAGAAATTTAAGAGAAAAACTCATTTTTCTCAGGACGGCTTCAGTAGGTCACATGGCAAAGCCGTGTCGCTCCCTCGTGGGAGCCTGGGTTCGTTTCCCGTGTGCGCTAAAGGCAAGATAAAAAAACCATTTCTCTCTTTCTTACTTCCGTCCAACCTTTCAACATTTAAAGAACAACTAATTTCCTTTCCATTTTTGTTAAAAACAAATTCAAAAGCCGCATTTGTAAATTAAAAAAAGGAACAAGAAGAAGATGAGATTCAATCCTACTAAACCTTTAAAATATGCATATTATAAATGTAAAACAAGTACTTGTATGTTTGTTTATTGATTTTCTTTTAGTATATGTTTTTTGAAAATAATTATGCATATCTCATTTTGTCTAATATCACACATCGTCAAAGTTTTCATTTTTTTTAACATAAAATATTACAAATTGAGTAGTGATAACTACACACGAGAGTTATACTACTTTTGTACTACACAGAAAAATAAAGAGAATTTTTTTTGTAAATTGCAAAGAGAAATGATGAGTTGATATAAATCAAGTTTTATGTGTCTAATAGTACAAAAGTAGTCTTTTCCTTATAAATTACTCTTTGAGGGTTAAATTACTTAATAATGACATAAAACTATACTGGGAAGAGTAATGGTAAGTAGCTAGACTATACTTTCTAAACTAATTCTACACTACACGACTGAAAAGTACAGGTCCATCTCAAAGTTAATTTTATGAAACTTTGGTGTATTTTTGACCAGCAAAAACAAACTACAGAATTCAAAGTTAAAACAAGGTAAACATTACTGTATCAAAGTGCAAGCCCTATTATGTTCATTAATTGCAAGAACCTTTAGTATTTGAGGGACGTATGAGAAATTTTAAAGATTTAAACAGTAATATGGAATTATTTAAAACTAAAGGGAATAACATCTAAATAACCCTTTGCTAATTTATATTTGTCAATTTTCAGGCTTGAAGCAGTAAGAGAGAAATATAGAAACTTGTTCACTTTAGTTTGCAACTTATTAATAAATCTCAACAAAGACCAACCGTACGCAGCATCCTTAAAGACAAACCCGTCACCATTCAAATTCCGAACTCCTGTTAACATAGGTAAAAGTTGCAGAGAATAGAACTCAAATAAAGATTTTATCAGAACAGTCCTTAGAATTGGGTGACGTATACAATTCAAGGGCGGTTAAAAGGCTAGTTTAAGAATAGTATGTATTCTATCTAGCGTAAATCATTCCACTCTTATATGGATGGTTCTGATAAGATTCCAACTGTAGAATTCCTCCTGATAGCAGAAGACATCAGCAACAGAGTTACCAGAATCCAAGCATGGTGATTTTAGCAACAAGAACCGAGCAAACTTTTAAGAATAGTACAAGCCGCTGGCACCACACAGATGCCTCATATCCGTTATGCAATTAACCTGTTACCGGACATACTCTGAACTTACAGCATTAGTTATGTCATATTAGAACTAGAACCCGAAATTACAACACTAGAGATTAGACTATTTGTATTAGACTCCAGAAATTGATCAGCACCCAGCTGCTCTCATGAAGTTATCGAAGGGGCTGGCAGGAGGCAACCTAAGGCCCTGCAACTGTTCCAATCCTCCTTTCTCCTCCAAACCATATCCACACCCAACTATCTGCATCAATAAAAAAAAAAATTTAACACTTAAACTAGAGTATAAAGATTTATAAATAAGGCTAGCAAGCGCAAACTTTTTGATTCACCTTCCCAATTCCCGACTGGCTG